TGGGAAAGGGAAGGACCAGGGGAAGGGGTCAATGGGACCCTTTTGGGACACACTGAAGTGGAGGTGCCCAAGGAGAGACAACCAGCAGGAACCTGATGCACTGGTATGGAGTTGAGGGGGCGTTCTGGAGTGAGATGGGAGTGTGAGAGTCACCCAAGCATAGGGTGGCAAGGCAGTCAATGAAACTGCAAGGTCTAAAAGATAGGAAGGCAAGGAGGAACCCTGAGCAACCAGATGCACATGGGATGGACAAGGAGTCTGACAGAGTGGAAGGGAAGGGAGGTGAAGAAATACCAGGGAATTACCACATTGAGACAGAGGTTAGGGGAGAGAGGGAGCTGGATGCTTCCAAGGTTGTAGATATAACTGAGTCCCTAGCCTGGAAGGTCTTTGGGGGCAGGAAGTGGCTCAAGCGGTAAGAGTGCCTGCTTAGGAAGCATGAGGCCCTGAGTTCAAACCCCAGTATCACCAGGAAAAAAAGAAAGAAAGAAAGAACCACTGGATAAATAGTTAAAAACCTTAGCTAAGTCATCGTGGGGCAGGTGGCTCCATGTGTTGGTTTCTTGGGCAGTACAGTAGGTGAGAAGATAGGCGGCTCCTAAGATATGCCTCTCTCCTGACACTATGGGATCTTGTCCCCTTATTCTCACCCACTCTGGGAACAGGTGACAAGGGAATTTTTTAACAAGGTACAAGAGTGCTCCCCGAGTTTTATAATAGGGGCTCGTGACACAAATTGCCGTGGAAGAAAAGAGTCCCCCGTGGGAAACTTATCTAAGAATGTATCATGAGGTGGGCTATTTTGGGACTCAAATTACACAGAAAGGCCTGGGAAAATAGACGTGCGCAGGGATGAATGCAGCGACAATTAATGTTAACTATAAGGTGTCATATCTTTACAGAACACGCAGCCTGCAGTGTGCGCAGTAGGGGGCAGGAGGAAGGTGAATGAATTAGAGCCAAGTACCCAGGCAAGAGGGGGATGTCCTCTGGTGCAAGGAGGAGGGAGCAGGAGGGGATTGGATTGCCAGAGAGGGCACAGCAGTCACCTTGGGCAAGGTGGCCTCTGAAGTTGAAAATGCAACCAAGATAGCCCCACCTAGCTCAGGGAAACTCCAGAACCAGAATCAAAGGAACCAGTAGAGGATCAGGGGCTTTCCTAGGGAGTCACCACTTCAAGGAGTGGTGATTAAGGATAATCTATAGAGCCTTAATTTACATATTAAGAAATCAGTTTCCCCATAGGTAAGGGTTTAAAAAAAGCTCAATAATAATGTACAGAGTGTTCAGCTGTGTGGCAGGGTGGAAGGCTTGGGGGACTGGCTGTGTGACTATGTGTTCCAGCATTCCTGATTGGCAGCCAGTAACCTTGGACAGGATATTTCACCTCCCACAGCCTCAGTTTATTCATCTGTAACTTTTCACAGTAATCATTTTCGGATTTAAAGGATTTAAGAGATTTGAGGGGAGGAGAGAGATCGAATTAGATAATTGTACTTCAAATACCTCTGTAGCCAGCAACTCTTCTGCCACTGAGTGGCTTATCACTTGTAAAGATGATTGTGAGTGGTTTTGTTTTTTTTCTTTGTTCTGTTTGTTTTGCAGGGCTGGGGATCAGATCCATGGCCTCACACATGCCAGGCCAGACTCTACCACTGAGTTATAGCCCCAACCCTTCTCTGTAAGTTTTTCACTTCCAGCTACACTAAGAGAGGCACCAGGGCAGCCAGCTATCATGTCTGATTCCTCTTTTTTATTCTCTGTGGCAAGCGTGTTGTCTAGTACACATTAACCTCTCAAAAAATGGTAGCTGAATAGGTAAGTAATTGCTATGTAGAGGCAAATATTACAAAAAGATCACAGTGTGTTTCACAAGTTAGATCTAGGAAAAATCTCCAATGAGAACTATTTCTAAAACATCCTACTCTGTTTCTAACCCTCTGTCCAATCCCAAGTCATGTCACACAACATTTGTGCCCCTTGAGAACAGAACCCACATTTTAATCATTCCAGTTCAGTGTCAGTTCCAGGTGGATTTAGTTCCACTCGCAGCTGCTTTGCCAGCACCTAGAACCTCAAGAAGGATTTGGTAAATGGATGAATGACTTCTCGCCCTTAGTATGATGTCAGGCACTAGTAAATGTCTGTTGAATGAATACGTGATTAAACAAGGCAACAGTCTCTCTCTCTCTACTGTCCCTTTCTAACACTTTCAACTGAGACAAGAGAGCAATGAGAGCAGGCTCTGGAGTTCGATAGTCTGAGTTCAAATTCTGGCTCTTATACCGACTAGCTAAGTGATCTAGAGTGAGCTACTAAACCTTTCTGGGTATCAATTTTCTCACCTTTAAAATGGGGATAATACTTTTTCAAGTGGGATTACATGGTTTACTTAAAGCAGCATATATAAACTACTTAAGCACAATGACTGGCACAGGAATTGCTGCTATTTTTTTAAAAATCCTATCAGTCTCTTAAACTTCAGTGGCTTTCCTGTTGCTACAGAGTAAGATTTAAAATCAAGGTCTTAGTTGGGTATGATTGTGCATACCTGTAATCCCAGCATTTGGAAGGGTGAGGTAGGAAGATCACCAGTTCATGGCTAAGCCTGGGCTACATAGCAAAACTCTGTTTCTAAATAAATAAATAAAGTCAAGGTCTTCACAATTGGGCTCAATGTCCCTGTCTTCCCACATTGGTCTTCCCATACTTTAAGACTAGCTACCTTTGAATGGCTACTACCTGTGACCGGCCTTCTGCTAAGTGGTGATTTCTATTAATTTGGTTGCCTTACAAAGAATCCCGTGACTTGGACTTATTATTGCCCATATTTTACAAATGATGAGACCAAGGCTCAGAAAGTAGAATTAACTTTGCCAAGGACACATAGCTAATATCAGGAAAGCAGAAGTCCATTCCAGGACCTACTGATGGGGAAGTTCATGTTCTTATTTACCTGGCTTTGAAATCCTAGCCAGGAAAAGCTCAATCTGTGGGTTCAGCACTCCCAGCCTAGCCTGGGGCTTATTAAAAACACGGAATCTCAGGCCTCATCCCACACGTACTAAATCACAACCTGCATTTTAACCAGCTTCCCTCATTACCACCCCCCACCCCCGCTGCTGTTGATTGCCATATACTGTAAAGTCTTGGAAGCACCACTTTCTACCAGACACGAGTGCTAATTAAATCAGATATGTGATCTCATTTAACCCCTGAAACAACCTGGAAGGTAAGAAGTCAGAGTTATCCCATTTTACAGATAGGGACACTAAGGCTCTGAAAGAGAAGTGTGAACTGGACCCAAGTGTGTCTGATGCTGGTGTGCAGCTCTGACCACACCCAATCTCTATTCCAACACCCCTCCATGGGTTCTTCTTATCTTTCTGCTCCACTCAAAATCCCTCCCTCCCACTGCTCTGAGCCACTTTATATCCCCAGGGCACAAAGCCTAGCATCTTGTAGGGCCTCAAGTCATTAGAAAACAAGCTAAATGCTCTGCTACCTAAGGATGGAATTTGCCTGCAGTGCTTAAAGTGGAGTGTTAGCACCAGTTAAGTCTTTCAATTCCCAGGAGTGGCAAAGGACAAGTGAGGTGACAGGCTCCTTACTGCTCACCATCCCTAATCTTTGAGATGACCCAGGATGCCAGCTATTGTCACAAAGTTTGCAAATGATTGAAAATATAATCCTCAAAGTAATGATTTGGGGCTGGGTATATATTCAGTGGTACAGGGCTTGCCTAGCATGCACAAGGCCCTGGGTTCTATCCCCAGCAATGGAAGAAGAAGAAGAAAAAAAAAAAAAAAGGAACACCTAGAATTGGCAATTGATCTCATCATATCCCCACCCTTAAAACTAGGTCCCCAATAACCTTCCCTCAGTTCTGAAGAAAAGGCAAAAGGGCAAAGGTGACCATAATGTAGGGAAAAAGACCTCCCAGACACAGAGAGTCTAGTAGTCCCTGTGCTTAGTCTCTCCTTTTACCTGAGACCTACAAAAGCACTTGTTTCTAGGCCTCTATTTCCTCATTTGTAAAATGAGGAGGTTGGACTAGTTTCTAAAGCTCCTTCCAGCTCTAAAATGCTGTGTTATAAAATGAAAGAAATGTGAACCTTTGGTTGCTATGATCTGAAAATATTTTGAATGTGGAGAGTCAAATTGTACAGCAGTGCATGAACAAAGTAATATGTTAATGACTAAGAAGATTGTACTTAATCCAATGGGAAACAGCAGAGCTGCTGGTGGTATGTGTGCGCGCTTGTGTCTGTGCTCGGCTTCCTTCCTTGAGCTCAAACACATATTTTGAATCACTAATACAGTAATCAGGCCTCTGGCAGCATATCTTGCCAGAACACACGCACACACCACTTCAAAATAAGTTGGGGGGGGGCGAATTTCACTGCTGCTGCTTACATGTTTTCTGTTTGGGTGGCTTTTTAAAAGAAATTTTTGTAGTGAAGGTGTTGGACTGACAGCGCCTGGAGGACTCGGATCTCAGAAGTGGGGCGCGTGGGCGGGAAGCTAGGGATTTCATTAGCATCTTGCATTCCCACACCAACAGCCCCGCTCCACAGTCGTCACAATCCTGACCAGCCGCAGGGACCCCAGCTCTGCAACGCGGGAGGTCAAGTTGCCAGTCCCGAAGGCGCTCGGGCCACTCGGGCCAGAACACGTGCTTTGAGTCCTACCTGCGTGGAAAATGAGTGCGCACGTGCCACGTGTCAGGGCTGCGCTGACCTTTCCCCCACAGAAGGGCTGGGGCTGGGAGGCGGACGTGGGCCAAAGGCCACGCTCCAAGTTCCTTTTCACTCTAGGGCTTAGAACCGGGTTAGCCTCGCGGGCTTGGGCCGACAGAATCTTTGGCAAAGCCGCGAGGTCTCGCCGAGCCGGGCAGAGGCGGAGGGCGCGGCGGCCCCTCCCCGCCCGACGGCCCGCGCGGATTGGCCGGCTCGCGGCCGCGGGGCGGGACAAGGCCGACCTCGCGGCCAGGTGAGGCGCCCCGCCCCTCGGCGGCTCCAGGTGCGGCGGTGGGACCTCGGGGCCGAGGCAGGGGCCAGGGCCAGGGCCCAGGCGGCGGCCGTGGCGCCATGGCCGAGTCCCAGGTGAGCTGCCTGGACGAGGCGCACGTGAACGAGAAGGTGACCGAGGTGCAGGCCGCCTTCTACTACTGCGAGCGGCGGCGGGCCGCACTGGAGGCGCTGCTGGGCGGCGGGGAGCAGGCCTACTGCGAGCGGGTCAAGAAGGAGAGGCTGCGGGACTTTCTCTCCAGCCAGGAGCGCCAGGCCCTCCGCGCCGCCTGGAGCCCCTACGAGGACGTCGCTGCGGCTCCCCGAGGCAAGAACAAGACCAAGGCCAAGGCCCCAGCCCACGGCCCCGCAGAGCCCGGCGAGTCCCTGGCCTACTGGCCAGACCGCTCAGACACCGAGGTGCCCCCGCTGGACCTAGGCTGGACGGACACCGGCTTCTACCGCGGTGTGAGCCGCGTCACCCTCTTCACCCACCCCCCCAAAGACGAGAAGGCCCCGCACTTGAAGCAGGTGGTCAGGCAGATGATCCAACAGGCCCAGAAGGTAGGCCTAGCCCTGCGCCAAGACTTCCCCCCTCTCCCCAGCGTCTTGGACCTCACCTTCAGACCCCCACCTCCGACCGTCCTGTGGAAAATGGTCCCCAGCTCCCTCTCACCTTGTGGGGCTGTGGTGGGCCTCTAGAGAGGTTGAATGGGAACGTATTTGGCAAATCACAAAGTGCTAGACCGAGGTTAGTCGTTATTACTGTGTCCAAAGGCGCTGGCTTTCTGCACTATCCTGTCCCTCTCCGTTGGGCAGAATAGGGGCTGTGGGCCCCTGTGGTAACTGGGCCATTAAAAGGTCTTAATCATAACCTGTGTGCTGACCAGGGATTCACAAGACTGTCCCTGGCCATTTTCAGGTTAGATTTTCAAAACCACCCCATGAAGTGGGCACTAAGTAACCTCCCCAGTCTCACCTCAGCTGTGCTGCTCTTGGAAGCCCTTCCCTCCCAAACAAAACTGACCAGGGCCTCACATTCTCATGGCGCCTGCGCCTGGAATGAGTGAGGGAAGCTATTTTGAGCACCAGCTGTGGCCTGGCAGGTGCTGGGCACTTTTGAACAAGTATGGACTACAGCAGCTCAGAAAAAAGCTCCTACTTAGGCCACCTGTTATGCTTTGTTGAAAGGAGGTGTTTCCAGGATGACTGATTAGGTAGAACACTGGTGGAGTCAGTAAGATGTGAAGCAAGTGGAAGATTAATCTTTCCTCTGTGGTACCTGGATAGAGTTTCCACATAAAGTGTAGACTTTTCAGTTAAATTTGAACTTCAAATAAAAATGTTTTCCAAATACATTTTGAAGTTTCATGGGAATATTGATACTAAAGAGTTATTCATTGTTTATCTGAAATTTGAATTTAATGGTGCTAAACCCAGCTCCCCTTCACTGAGATTTCAGGGCACCCTTTGGTGCCCTTATCAGAATATGCAAGAGGAGGCTTGGGTTTATCATGCTAATTCTACTCCATGTCTGTGGTTAAATCAACTTGAACATGCCAGATCTCATCTAACTCAACTCTGTGAGCATGATTGATGTTCCCTTACCCTTGGAGGCTAAACAGGCCTAAGGAGGGCAAAAGAATCTAGACAAGTGGTGGGGCTCCTCTTCCTAGGGACTGGCTAAGATGGACTGCCAGAGGAAGGGTTAACATTTCAACTGTGCTCATTTCCACCCTCCTCTGGAAGTAATTGTTCCTTGTCTGATTGAGCTCTCTTTGTATATTGCACTCCACAGAAGAACAAGGCAAGCTGCACACAGAGGAGGGGAAAGGGAAGTGGGTGGCAGTGCTGAGCAGCAGGCTACAGCTGGGGTCAGGGGCCAAGCCTCATGAAGTGATACTAACAAAGACTCAATTTATTTAGCATTTATTATGTGTCAGCCACTGTGCTAATGATTTACCTGCATTTTCTCACTTGCTTTGCACCACCACTGGGTGAGATAAGTACTGTTCTTATTTTTAGAGAGAAAGAAATCAGGATTCAAGACAGTTAAGTTACTCGCCTAAGGTTTCATAGCTAGTAAGTGCCTGAGCCAGAATCCAAACACCAAAGCCCTTGTTACCCTGTGCCACCCTGCCCCACTCTCCCAAGTAATGGTACAATGGGATTAAGAAAGGAGTTTGAGTGGAGTTAGCCTGGTCACGGATCTGGGGTACAGGTTGTTACAAGAAAGGAGAGATAAGGCCCTTGGCACTGGGGCTTTTAGACCCGTGTGGAATGACAAGATGATCCTGTCTAATAGGGTTTTCTTAACTCCTCAAATATTTAACAATGAAAATTTTAACAGTTGTGAACCAGTCCAACATGTACAGATTCAACTAGAGTTATTTCCTGAGTTGTCTATGTGTGCCAGGTACTAGCCACAAAGAGAATAAAAAAGATCCAAGCTGTGGCTTTTCCCCTCCAAGAGTTTGCTCAAATGCTGGAGTTCTGCTAGAAGGAAAAGGTTTTTTGTTTTTGTTTTTGCCTAATCTAGGAAGGCTTCCTGAGGGAGGTGGGTCGCAGACTTGGAGAGAAAAACTGCAGTTTCTTAGACAATCTGAAGCTTGAGCAACAGGTTTTTTGCTCCCCAAAAATGCAAGGTTTGGTTAGCAGGAGAAAAGAGCTGTGAAGGTGGGAGCTGAGTACTGTGTGGGGTCCTTCAACCCAGACAAGTGACTGTCCCCAGGAAGCAACAGCTTCCGCCTGTGTGCTCACACAACTCTCAGGCCCTCTTTGCCCCTATCCTTAATCACTGCCCCTTATGTCTATACAGCGGCACCTCATGACCACTGCCCTGCCCCACCCTCTACCCCAGCTGATCCAGCTGGCAAGCAACCATCCGTGGCCTTTGAATTAGCCTCCCTCCTACCTATTCAGCCTGAGGGAGGGAGTTTTCCTTTGTTCCAGGGAGAGTATGACTGCCAGGAGGCTGGGTGGGGCAAACCAAGAAATGGTTTATGTGCAGAGATGGAGGTAGCTGTGGAGGGGAGGCAGGACATGCACATGTCTATGTGCCAGAGAGATTTGGTTTTATTTCATTTAATCCTCAGAAAAACCTTATGAGGTGCTATCATTTTTGTTCCCAAATGACAAACAGGAAATTAAGATTCAGAGGAAGTTGTCTTGACTTGTTCAGGTCACAGACCAGAGAGGGATTCTGCCATTCCATACCCGATTCTTCAAGATATGGAGGAAGGAGGCTAATTAGGGACACTTTGAAAACATGATTGGGGCTTGGGGAGGATGGGCAGGGGGCTGTGGTCAGTGAGGAATCAGCCCAGCAGGTGTGGAGATAAGCAAGAGGAAGGCCTCTGATGGGGTGACTCTAGACTAGCTGCTCTCTGGGCCTCTGCTCTTCCCAAACTGTGCTGGGTAACCAGCATTCAAAAATTCATCTGTGTTTACTTGTGGACTGGAGAGAGATCTGCTTATTTTAGTGTCACTTAAAGGTGTCCTTTGCTTAAGGACAGGCAGAAAGGATGCCTTTAGGGACCCAGAAATGAATGATGCCCTGGCCTATGCCATGCTAGCAACAAAGACCAGGGCAAGTTGTTGCTGCTTGGGTGGCTTGAATCATTGTAACTACCAGGGAGTGTCCCACTGCAAAACCATGTGTGGATGGGATGCTCTTGGATCTTGTTTTGCAAAGCTCAGTGTAAGAGGAACAAATAACCATAATCCCCCGGCAGCTTGGAAAGGATTGGGCAGGTGTCTCTTTGGTCACTTGGCAAAGATTTGGAGGTCTGCTGTGTGCTAAGTGTACTTTACTTTTAAAAAAAAAAGACATATAAAACACATCTCTGGTCTTAAGTAGCCTAATAGTCTGCTAACCCATCATTATAATTCAGTATGACCAATGTTTGAGAGAGGGCGTGGGGAGGAGGGGAGGCACTCATCCAGTCACAGCTCTTTGAAGTTACTTGTCTGAACTATCAGGAGAGGTGAGATGGCTCTAATCCCTCTGGCTTTCCTCATGCCCAGGCTCCCTTATCCATTTTTGAGGCTGCCGGGTAGGTTTGGAGAGTATTGCCTAGTGCTTCCGGATCAGTGGAAAACTTGGAAAAACCTCACCTCAAAGATTGACCCTTAACTCCTGCATTGCTGGTTCCCACACTCAAATGCACCAGCTCTTCTTGGTTTACCACTAACTGTCTGATTTCCTTGGTGCTTCAATAATAGTAAGACAGGGTATTGCCTTCATCTCACAGGGGAGCCCTCTGAGGTCCGAAAAGACGAACTGACTTTTTTTTTTTTTTGATGCTGAGGATTGAACTCAAGGACTCATGCATTCTAGGCAAGCATTCTACTGCTGAGCTACATCCCCAGCTGAAGTGACATCTTTAGACCAAGAATCAGGAGATTACACAGCCTCCCCTGGTCCGTGGTCAGTATTACCTGTAACCCCCATGAAGATTATAAGCACAGCCCAGGAGAGGATGGCTGCTGGGATAGGGAGTTATTATCAGCCAGGGGCTGATCCTTTTTGAACAGACCTGCCTGGCTAGTGGGGAAAAAAGGTTGGTGGGTATTCAGGCTGCTCCTGGTCTGTTGACAGACTTTTTTCTTCTTCAAAGCTGGGCTGAGGGGCCACCTTTTCCTTGTCATTTCATCAAGTTTTAAATCCAGAGTTTCACAAAGCTTGTTTTGGGAGAGCCCATCTTATCCTCCTGGGTTGGGAACTTTCACAATCCTCCCAGTCACCTTTGAAGGACTGTGCTTATGGTTCGACTGTCACTGGTGGTCAGTGGCCTGGTTTTAAAGAATTGAGACTGTCTCCTCAGCCACCAGTCCCTCTAGGGAAGCAAATGTCTAGAGGTGTCCCTGCTGAATTGTCCACTCCTCAGGGGACAATTTAGTTTCTAGTGTAATAGGCCATCAGGTAACAGAGAAGGATGCTCTAAATTGGGGGCATAGGACAGGGAGGGAAGGGAGAGGGATTTAGAGAAAGGCTGTAGAGGAGGGGTATGGTGGGCTGAAGTTAGCAGCCTTGGTTTGAGGTCTGGGCAGCTGATAGGCAGAAGTGCCCAAATGGTGTGGCAAAGTCTTGGAGACCCAGAGACCCAGCTTTGCAAATGGCAGCCTTTGCCCTGAGTAGGACCCACTATCTTTCCCTGTTAGCCCCATTCAACACTTTCCTCTTTCAGCTACATCCAGCAAAGAGTACCAGGCTCTTTCTCTATACCAGGTATTGTGCTGGGCATCGATGAACAGAGATGAATCAGATTCCCCCTAAAAAGAGTTTACATAAATAATTTTGAAAAATCTTACTGGTCTATGAAATCTGAGATTGGAAAATATGTTCACTTGCACTTCACTACCTTGTTGAGCGCTTGTCCCAGTTCTTATTCCTAATGTAACCCTCTTTCTCCTTTCTCTCCTTCCACCTCAGAGGGACAGTGACTGTAGGAGCTTCTGAATTGCCTCTTAGAAGTGACTTAAGTGCACAGAGCAGAAGTGGCCTCTCAGGCAGCCCAGGGACCTGCATGCCCCCCTGCACTGATCCCTCTTCTAATCTAACT